CGCACTCAGGGCCTTCGTTTACTCACGATAGGTGTATCTAACAGACGCACTATCGGTCTTCTCCTAGACACTGTGACTTCAAGACGCTCTAATGGCCTTCTCTCCGACACTTATGTAAACACGCACTAATGGCCTTGCTTAACACACGTTAGAACATAAAGTTCCCCTCTCTAAATTGACTCATCAATTCAATACTTCATTCCAAGACATTCAAGACATTCAATTGTGATGGGTACATGGGGTATTTATAGGTGCTAATTGCCTCTAGTTCTAATCTTAATAGGAAACTAATAAAACAATAAAATATTAAATCCTAAGGCAAGTAAATATCCTACTACCAAAAAATCCTAAATTTACTAGATCTCCTCATTGCTTGTCTTGCACTCCAAACAATTCTAGAAGCTTAAGTCTTGCACTTCCAAGTCGCCGCCCCCTTGACCTAGCCGCCCTCTTGCGCGCCGCCCGCTAGTCCTCGTCGCACGAGGTATCGCGCGCACGCCTCCTACGCCCATGCGTGCATGTCCTCTCGCCTCGAGGCTTAAGGCTTCGCGCCCCGCGTGCGCCATTCCTATTCCTTGTAGGACCATGCCTCGAGCCCATATCCACTATTCCTATTCCTACTAGGAATATGCTCCCGGTTACGTTTCATGATCTTCCGAGGATTACTCCCGTCACCGATCTTCCACGCGCGTTCCGGCACTCAACTGCTTTTTCTATTCCTGCGAGGATTAGTATTCTTGCCTTGCCTATTCCTACGAGGATTAGGCTTGCCACCCCAGTCTTGAATTGTGCCTCGCGCGTGTCGCCGTGTGCCCCGCGCTCGTCGTCAGGCAAGCCCAATTCCTGCGCATCGCCCATCGCTCTATGCGCGCCCGTCCATCCGCAGCAATCCCCCTCGCGCGCCATCCACCCAACAACCTCCCCCTGCGCGCCACTTCGCCTAACCTCCAAGCGCCATGCGCGTCTACGTGATGCGAAAGTGGCTAGGCAGCTCAAGAAAGCCGCGAGTCGGGCATATCACGCACGTAAGAGGCTTTCACGAGGGACGACAGAAAAGCGCGCACTTGAGCATAGTGCGCGCGAGGGGTGCGAAAATGGCCTGATAACGGGCGAGGACGAACGCGCACAAATAGCATGCGTGATGGGCAAGCAGGAGCTGGCCAGCGGGTATGCACGATTGGCGTGCGCGAGCGGGACGCGGGTGACTGGCGAAGACGCGCGCATGACGAGCGCAGCGGAGCAGCGCGCGAGAAACACGAACGACGCACAAGTACGCGCGGGGCGCGAAGCCCCATTCCTTGAGGAATGCGGACTGGCGGCAGGTCACGCGCATGGGGCATGCGCGCAAGGCGCTGGCGTGCTGGCCACGCCAGGTGAAGAGGCACGTGCGGAAGGCGGTGCCCTAGTCCTCGAGGACTAGGGCGTGCGAGGCGGTTGGGCAAGGCGGCGTGCGAGAGAGAGAATAAGAGAGAGAGGGATTACTTGGAGTGCACGCCAAGAGATTTAGTTTCCAACTAGCATTATAATTTCTAGATTAATTAGGACACTTAATATTTTTATTGCTTTCTTAGAGTTATAGTTATATTAGGATTAGATCTAATTGGTGCCTATAAAAAGGGCCTTCCCCCATGTTATTTTTCATCATTCAAGAATCAATATAAATTCTGAACTTTGTTCTTCCCTTTGCTTTGGTCTTTCACCAAAATACTACTGCAATTTTATTCGTTTCAATAGGCGCTGTTGTGGCTAGAGAAACACTATCGGCGATTCAAGGCGCGGGTTAGCGGCTTATCGGCAATTGAAACACATGATCTTCATCATTGGTGCTTTCATTAAGAGGTGTTGATCGTGTGTTTTTCCCTACCCCATTCACTTTCTTTTTCTTTTTCTATTTTTCGCCCCCCCCTATATCAATATATATATATATATATCATCATAATCATCCTCAACCACGAGTCCGCAAAGCAAGGAGCGAAGAGAGGAAAGGAAAGCCATGGCCAATAAGGAGATGAAGGATAAAATTGATAATCTCGATGTCCAGTTCTGTGGCATGAGCGAAGCTATCGATACGTTGGGCGAAGGACTTGACAATACCAAGACAACGGTGCAAGATCTGATGGAAACCGTAAACCGGCGATTTGACGAGATGGCGCGCACGGTTCTCGCACACCTTCCACCGCCGCGGCAACGCGATCATGCGCAACACCACGACCGCGAGCGGCCCGAAGGAGAGGATCGGCGGCCGAGGAGTATGAGCGCGAGGACGACTTCGACCGGCAGTCCCAGGCGTTCACTTATCACGATCGACGTGCGCCCGACAAGCCGCGCATCACGTTGTCCACATTCACGGGCAGCGATCCAGACGCATGGCTCAACAGGGCGATGCAATATTTTGAGCTCAATGAAACTGACGGTCCAGATCGTGTCAGGTATGCAGCTTATTATCTCGATGGTGAGGCCAATGTATTGTGGCAATGGCTCACAAGGATTTATCATAAGCGGTAGCAAATTGTCACTTGGGATGTTTTCGAAAGAGAGTTTCATACACGGTTTGGTACATCTGATTACCATAACTACAACGAGACTCTCGCACGCATACGGCAGACAGGCAGCTTACGCGAGTACATCAGGGAGTTCGAACGATTGGCATGCGGCGTGCGTGTTTGGCCCGAGGACGCATTGGTGGGAGCGTTTGTAAGAGGATTAAAATTTGACCTAGCGGCTGAGGTTCGGCTCGAGAGGCCCGACACCATGCACGACGCGATCGAGGTTGCCCGACGATGCGAAGATCACCTGGTTGCGACGCGAAGGGGACGGGTGGATGGCCGGTTGATCGACGCGCGACGCACGGGTTTGAGTCAGGCGACCGCGGGCGCCAGACCAACTATCAACACACGACCACTGGGGCCAGTAATTAGGCGGTTGTCGCCTGAGGAAGTCAAGCGGAGACGTGAGAAAGGCCTCTGCTTTAAGTGCGAGGAAAAGTTCACCTCAGGTCATCAATGCAAACAGGCCTTTGTAATTGAGGTGGGAAATCCCGACGATGAGGACGCTGAGGTCAAAGAGGAACCACATCAGGAGGATGGGATTGAGGCATTCAATGAGGAGCTTGAAATTTCGATGCATGCAATGGCTGGAAACAGAGGACCAAGAACGATGCGACTACCAGCATGGGTCAAAGATCGAAGGGTAATCGTACTCGTAGACAACAGTTCGTCACATAATTTCATTAATGCTGATTTGTCTCAAAAGTTGAAATTGCCAACCACAGAAATCGAGCCATTTGAAGTTCGAGTGGCCAATGGAGAAAGGCTACAATGTACTGAGTCATTCCGGAAGGTGCCAATCAAGTTCAACGGAGTTACTGTAAAGGCTGACCTCTATGCCTTACCTTTGGTTAGACCGGATGTCTTTCTGGGAGTGCAGTGGCTCGAAGGGTTAGGCAGGGTGACAACCGACTATCGGACGAGAATTATGGAGTTCAACTATGGAGGTCGGTAAGTCACACTGAGTGCTGGCAACAAAAAGGGTACCAAGGAAGTAGGGCTGAAAAGCATCGAAAGAGTTTGGCGAGGTGGCGGCCAAATCTTTGCAGTAGTAGTCGAGAACACTGAGGCACACATAGACCAGGACGAGCAACAACAAGGAGATGTGTGCAATCTTCTCGAGGAGTTTGAGGGAGTACTGGGCGAACCTAAAGGATTACCACCACACCGAGAGTTCGATCATCACATACAATGAGCAGCATGCCATACACATCCACCCTTATAGGTATGCTCACTTTCAGAAAACTGAGATCGAACGGCAAGTGGCCGAGATACTAGAGTCAGGATTAATCCTGCATAGCAAGAGTCCGTTTTCTTCTCCAGTACTGTTAGCTAAAAAGAAAGATGGCATGTGGAGGTTTTGTACTGACTACCGAGCTCTGAATGCCGCGACTATCAAGGATCGATTTCCTATTCCTAGTGCCGATGACATGCTCAATGAGTTAGCTGGATCACGCTATTTCTCAAAGCTCGACCTGAGAGCTGGCTATCATCATATTCGACTCCACAAGGCCGACATCCCAAAGACAGCATTTCGTACGCACCAGGGGCACTACGAGTATTTGGTTATGCCATTCGGACTGTGCAACGCCCCATCCACTTTCCAGTTTTCTATGAAT